CATTTAGTGTAATGGTTTCATTTATCTCATCATCACAACTATAGTCTTCTATTTAACATTCTGTGTACTCTTGCAAAAATTCATATGTATGTGTGTGTATATATATATGTATTTGCTTTAGACCTATATGAAATGAATTTTCATACTCTTCATTTATGCCTGTTTGACAGGCCACATTTTATAATACAATAAAGTGTTTATTTTCCCGAATATTAAAATCTGATTCTTTTTCTTTTTGTTAGATTATATTTCATCATATCTATCATAATGATTGTTTCTTAGCATTGTACTTTGAATCTGTGTTAATCCATTTTCTCACTGCAAATGGCTTTTGTTATTTTGTGTGCATTACAAGTCCTATGCTTCTTAGGAAAAAAAATTCAACAAAGGTTTCATTTTCTATAGATTAAGATAAAGCAATAACTATAAACAATAAGACAACATCTTTGTAATGTCTGTTTTATCCTGCCATGGAAGTTTAACTTCTGCCAAAAATGCTTTTCTTTCTGGCCCATTTCATTCTTCAGATAACACATCAAGTGTCACTTGGGAGAGACTTTGATAAGTACATAGGGAGTTTTTGGATTACAATACACTGCTCCTTTCAAAGATATAGTTAAAAACTGTGATTGTTCATTTGGTTTGTTGTTCATGATTGTTAGCAACATTCAGGATGGCAGAAGTGATGTCTATTTTGTTCACTTTCTAGAAGCAGGTCAGCGGTGGATATTCAACCCACTTTATTTTGTTGTTGTTGTTGTGTTTTGTTTTGTTTTAGGCTTTCAGCAGCAGGAAACCTTGGTTTTTAGCTTCTGTTTCTAGTGATAGGTGGAAAAGAGGGATGAGGAAGGGGTTTTGGTAGCCCAGTGAGAAACAGAAACTAAGAACCCGTGACTGTGTCCTCTCCCTTGGACACCCTTAGACAAAGGGCCACTAAGGGATCTAGAATTCTCGGATCACAGGTTTGGTTAGTAGGAAAGTATAACCTGCTACCTGAAGGATGAGAAGCCAGGGGAAAGAGGGTCTGTGGAGAGAGGGGAGCGTGCTCCTGCAGAGCAAACAGGTTGCACCAAGGAGAAGGTGGAGGTGAGGTTGTGCAAGGAATGGACACACCCAGGGTAGCTGACACAGGGGATGTGGAAGATGAAGTGACAAAGAGGAGACCAGAGGGTTGGACAGGCCTGGACCTCACAGTCCCTTTGAGCTGTGATCAGGAGATTGAATGAACTCAAAGGACAGTGTCAGGATGAGAAGACTAATTGTTGTGTAATTTAATAGGAGATATTTTAGCATAAAAATATCCAAAGTGGAAGTATGCCAAATGTATTCCTGAAATACTCTAAAAGATTTATAGTGAAAACAGTTGATATTTTAAAGCTGTAGAATTTTTATATGAAGAGGTGGTAGCTCTGGATTCAAATTTCCTCAGTTTCCAAACTGGGTTGACCCTTTCTAACTGTATGACTTGGCTGGATACATCAGAGCCTAAATCCTAGTTTCTTTATCATTAAGATGGGGATAATAATAGTACTGACTACTCCATTGATTAATATCAATATTATATAGAAATTGGAACTGCAACTTTGTTACACGAAATACAGAGCACTTTTGTAGATTTCATTTTTCCTATGCTTTTCCTTTTTTTTAAGTACATCATTTCTCTTTCAAAAGACAGAGGGAAAAACATACAAAAAAGTAAATGGTAAATTAGTATGTCAGGGTGACATACTAATGACTTGTATAACAAAAATGTATGCCTTGCCTACAGGATAGCTAGAGTTAACCAGTCTGCAGGCATTTTCCCTTTTAATAGTCACAAGAATTCAATGAGGCCCATGCTATTCTTGTCTCCTTCTATACTAAGGATATTTAGTGAAAGGCAGTTTATGTAATTGGTGCAAGATCATCGTCTAAAAAGTGGCAGAGTAAGACTCTACCCAATAGAGGCTGGAGTCCACTATCTGACACATTAAGTCCTCCTTTGGCAACAAATAATTTTGTTAGTGATATTATATATACTTTGTAGACCCTTAAGATTTTATTTGGTTATGTACTACATTCAAAAATATTTGCAGAAATCACGGTGGACTGATTGTATAAGCATTTTTACAACGCAAAAATCAGTACAAGAAACCAGAGTCAACAGCATTAAAGTATTTTCCCACGTTATCAGTGGCCCTGTTCTACAACCACTGGCAAATACTTTCATAGTTCTCTGAGCTAAAATACGAAGAGTGCACACATTTGTATAGGGAAATGAAGACTTTAGTGCATGCATATGTGTGTTAACCACCCTCATCTCAAGCAAATTTTCCTTGCCTGAGAAAACTTTTTAAAACAGGAAATACTCTTCAAGTTCAAGGACTGACTGATTAAGCCCAACTCATTTTTATTTAGTCAGATGTGAAAAAATACACAGTTAATTGGTAGGCAAGATCTCAATGTACCAGAATCCAATTATAGAGTCTTCAAAACACTAGTGAAATAAAAGTTAATGAGACATTTAAAGACATTACAATTTTATGATACTGATTTATTTTGAAAACTAGCAAGGATAATTTTAAGTTTAATATGCTGAATTAAATTCTCTGTCTTCGCTTTGGAATTTCAACCAAAAGAAATATCATTAAACAGTGAATAGTAAATATATATATGTATTTGTGTTTGTGTGTGTGTGTGTGTGTATGTATATATATGTGTATATATATACACACTGTTTCTAATTAAGAGTTCCTTTTGTTCTTTTCTTTTTTGTATTGGTGTTGGAGTTTGGTCAGTTGTATTCTTACTGCCCTCTGAATTATAATATATGAAGGGAACAAAATACTCCAAATCAGCAATAACTGAAACATGATTGGACATATACCAATGCTAACAAAAATAATTACAACCATGTGTCTATATTATTATAACAAGTATTATAATGAAGAGTGAAGTGGTTTGACATCTCTATATAACACTTGTTAAAATGTTTTCTTCTCTACTATTAAAAGTTAATATTAATTAAGTTTAATATTATAAAATCTCTTAGTAAGATAGCCTTAATATTCATCTTTTAAAATATTATGTAGTCTTTTTTCCCAATGATTAAAGGCTTATTTTGTAAGTTAGTTATAGTAATGAAACCCATTCAGTTGATTAAATAGATGGGTCATAAGGAGGCAATTTATGATCTGTAACTATATAAAAGCAAATGAAAAAAAGTGAGAGGATTAAATGTCATGCACATAAAATATTATATAAGATTATTTACACCAGAAAAGCATATCTGAGAATAAAAATGGGTAATTATTTACAGCCATGGAACTTTATTAATTTACAAATTAAGCTGCATGTTTTGAGCACTTTTTTAAAGCAAAAATTCTACTTACTATATTCTCAATATACCTATATTACAATGTTGAATAAAGAATCAGGTATATGTATTGTTACATATGGTATGCCTTTACAAATTAATTTGTGTTTGGTATTTATATGGAAAGTTGATTTTAATTTCTTTACGAAGCTTTGCATTGGGCAAAGACTGTGTCGTGTTATCTACGCTGTAAAGTTTCCTCATTTCTAAGTGATAGTCACAACTTCATCAGTACTCCTTAGATCACCTTGACCATACCTAATAATCTAACACTGACTTGACACATACTACATACTAAACAAAATTATTGAACAAATACATGTATTTGTTATAATGTAAATTATGTATCTTTAAAACTTAACTGTGCTTCTCTCACCCACCAGACTGTAAAACTTTTGACACACAAGAAACATGTTTTTCATAATATTTTATTTTTGATCTTATCACAATATTAACCACAGTGAGAAATTAATTCATGTATAAGTTAGATGTGCTTTTGCCTGAAAATAACAGAAAACTCAACCATCATAACTTAAATAAATATAGGTTATTCTGCTCAAATAGCAAAGAAATCAGAGGTATGCATTCTACGTTGTCATGCCATAATTCACACCTTAAATCAGGCTCTTATCTTCATGGTTCACCATTTTGAATGTCATGAGAAGGCTGTTATACTCACCTTCTTCCAGAACTATGTCCTTATTCAAACACAAGGAAGGAAGAGGAAAGAGAGTTCCTCATTGTGATGTTCTCATATTTTTCTGGATGGGAAATCTCAGCACACTTCATCTCACATCCCAGCAGCCAGAGTCAGGCCATATGGCTGCCTTGAGACTAGTCAATAGTCAACAGATGAAGGGCATCATGGAAAATGTAGGCTATGATTTAACCTCTGGCATTGAAATAGAGGCTTATTTGCCTATACATCAATAGGTTGTGCATTCTGCCTGAACAAATTGAGGCTTAGCAGGGATAAAGAAAACCATTAAGTAGTTAGTGGACAATAACTATTACAATTTGTATTTTGTAGTGGACAATGTTGCAATAGATATGACCTAAATAGGACTGGATTTGTCAAAATGAATTATTTATGTCATATGCTATCTTCAATTGCATCTTTATATTTTTATTTGTATTTTTTTGGCAAAATTGAATATGAGAATTTTCTATTTCTTAGTGGACAGTTACAAGTATTTAAATTCCTCTATATTTTTAGTTACACTGGAAAAATATGCAATATTGAAAAAGTGCAGCCGGGTGTAGTGGCTCACACCTGTAATCCCAGCACTTCAGGAGGCTGAGGTGGGTGGATCACGAGGTCAGGAGATCAAGAACATCCCGACCAACATGGTGAAACCCCATCTCTACTAAAATACAACAAAAATTAGCTGGGCGTGGTGGTGCGTGCCTGTAGTCCCAGCTACTCAGGAGGCTGAGGCAAGGGAATTGCTTGAACCCTGGAGGCGGAGGTTGTAGTGAGCCGAGATCATGCTACTGCATGATCAAGACTCTGTCCCAAAAAAAAAAAAAAAAAAAAAGTGGCATTGTTTTCATCAAATTTCAAAAACAAAAAAAAACGTAGGTCTTATTCCTGTATTTACAAGGGAAATTTCAGCATGAAATTATGTCCTCTATCTTTTCTTAGGTCTCAAAGATGAGTATGAATTTAGATTCCATTCATCGATTAATTGAAGAAACACAGATCTTCCAGATGCAGCAATCATCAATTAAGTCACGTGGTGACATGGTAACACCTGCCTCACCCCCCAGGGATACCTGCTTCCCACTTCATGGGCTACAATCTCATGCTGCTCACAATTTCTGTGCACACTCATGTAACACCAACAAATGGGATATTTGTGAAGAACTTCGCCTGCATGAGCTTGAAGAAGTCAAGGCCAGAGCTGCTCAGATGGAAAAGACCATGCGGTGGTGGTCAGATTGCACCGCCAACTGGAGAGAAAAATGGAGTAAAGTTCGAGCTGAAAGGAACAGTGCCAGGGAGGAAGGAAGACAACTCAGAATAAAACTAGAGATGGCGATGAAAGAATTGAGTACACTGAAAAAGAAACAGAGTTTGCCACCTCAGAAGGAGGCATTAGAAGCTAAAGACACCCAGGATCTGAAGCTTCCTGGTTTCACAGAAGGAGCCTGTGAACATAGAGACCAATTTCAAGTGAGTTCACAAATGTATGAGTCCATCGGAGAGTGTTTGGTAAAAAGAAAATTTTCTACAAAGGAGGACACAAATAATAAGGTAAGAAAAAAATCCAGAGACTATGTGAATATCTGAAGGTCATAGATAGTGATGGGGAGGAAGAAGGAAGTGACAAATCCAGTGGTGACTATACTAGTCTGCCAGGGCTACCATAAAAACGTACCATAATCACAGTGGTTTAAGCAACAGAAATTCATTTTCTTATAATTATAGAAGCTAGAAGTACAAGATCAAGGTGCTAGCAGGGTTGGTTTCTTCTGAGGCCTCTCTCCTTGGCTTATAGAAAGCCATTTTCTCCCTGTGTTTCATATGGTCTTTTCTTTGTACACATGTCTGTGTCCTAAGTTCTTCTTGTAAGGTCACCTAATGAGCCTAATTTAACTAAATCACCTCCTTAAAGGCCCTGTCTCCACCAACAGTCACATTCTATGGTACTGGGGATTAGGACTTTAACAAATAAATTTTGAGGAAACACAAGTTCAGCCCATCCTAGTGGTTTTACTAATCTTTATAGAAAAATTTAACTCAGCATTTTTCGTCTGAAAAGAAAATATTTGGAGACATTTCTTTCCATTTGCCTTAATTATTTCTAAATTGTAAACAATCCATACAGTAGTTTGAATAGTTCTCAATGTTTGGGACTCAAGCCTCACAATTAACTACTTATAAAATGGGTACTGCAGGCAAATAGGGTACCTTAGGAAATGCTTTATATGGACCACTGATGGAATTTCTTGGTATACTTAGAATCTCAGTTTCTGAGAATTCTGTACAAAACACATGTAACTTTAAAAAGTCTCTCAGTTTATACACTTATTCATCCATGAACCACCACCCTGTTTTTCTTTTTCTTTTATTTTAACTTGGTAAATAATATTAACAACCCAAAGAACATACTTTGGGAACTCCTGTTACCTCTTATTATAGTTTCAGTTTATTTTGTTACCTCTTTCTACTTAATTCCTTCTCTAACACACATTAGTTAATATCTTGCACCTCTACCATTGCATTTAGTATTTTAAGCTATTCTATAATGTATATAATTTATGGTAGGTAAAACCTAGATTTAACTATAAATAAAAAAATTAAGAAGATTGCAATACAATGATTACTTCTGCTTATTTGGTCTTCTACGTTTTCTTTTTAAAATGTTCAAAGCTGATAACCTAAGCTTTGTGTGTATCTTTTGGAAAATCACATATATTCTCAAAACTCAGCTGTGTTAATGTATGCGTTAGAAGAGTGCAATGATGAGGATAAGGGAACATAGCTCACATCAAGTTCTCTAAATCCACAAAGCATTTTTATTATTACAAGTTACTAGCCTCTGCATTTGAGAAAATGAAGGATTCTCTTCACATGTATCATGATGGAAATTTCTCAATATTTTGGGATTTCTTCTGAAATATCTCCTTAACGTTAATGTCAAGAACAAATCAAACATAATACTTATTTATTAAAAATGTATTTATTTGCAAAATATCCTTCCAGATATTCCTTCTGATGGTAGGAAAATAAATATTACCTGTTGAAGAAGCTTCAATCAGTTTTTTTCCTTAAAATTTTGACCAGTATCTTTGCCAACTCTATACCTAAGAAGAAAGATATGTATATGTATCCTCAAACAACACATCTTATTTTATTGTTTGTCAAAATATTATAGTATAGATGATTGCAATGATCATTCTTGAGAGAATTAAGGAATGAATCATACTAGGTAAACTGGCATCCACATACTACTTAAAAAATAAAATAAAAGTGAAGTATCATCGAGATTTTACTTGAACTTGACTATTCATTGAGATTTTATTTGAAATTGTCTTTCATTTTAAACTTATAAACCAGGGCAAATTTAAATCGTAGGCAAATACCAACAGCATGAGCCTTGTGAAGTTTTTGAGTTACACTCTAGGAGTGTCGATGCAGTTGTTGCTCTAGTATATTGATGCCCATGTTTATTAAAGTGCCCCATTAAATTCTATTTGAGATGTGACTCATGAATTAAAAAAAGGGGAACTAAAATAAAGCGATAAGCAAGCTTTTTAAAATATTCAAGAGCTTCCTGAAAATTCTATCTTGTCTTTCAAAAATGTTAAAAAATAATTACTTTGAAACTGTACGTGTCTTATGACAAAAGAAACTTGAAAGAGGAATTCATCAACTCATTAAAAATTATTTACAGCTGTTCAAGTTTGTGCATGATTATTTTTAGCGTGATTAGAAAAAGAGAACAAACAGAGTTAAAGCAGAACTTTTGAGAAATGTATTTTTTTTGTAAAGAGGTAGAACATAGAAAAAAATAAGTTTGAAGAAGAATGCAAGTAAGTGTGACCACACAATGCTTTTAGGGAATGATAATGAAATAAAAATATCAATTTGTTGTTGTATCATAACATGTATTTCTTTATGAAAATGTATTGTCATCACGATTTTTCTCCAAGAGGTTTAAATTTTTTTTTTTTTTCAGGAAGAAGGTGTGGTTATTGATTCTCTAAAATTAAGTGAGGAAATGAAACCCAATCTAGATGGTGTTGACTTATTCAACAATGGTGGTTCTGGAAATGGTGAAATGAAAGCTGGGCTGAGACTGAAAGCAATAAATCTGCCTTTAGAAAATGAAGTAACTGAAATTTCAGCTTTGCAGGTGCATTTGGATGAATTCCAAAAAATCTTATGGAAGGAAAGAGAGTAAGTGCTAATCATTGTCTCCCTTAACCAAGTCTAAGTTTCAAACCACTTAAAATTGTTAATACTGATAGATTGGTTATTTGATAATGTATTTTATCCATGTTTAATCATTAAGTTTTAGGATTTAAAGAAATTAGTTTGACATATATTCATATTTTGAATTTTAAAAAGTAGTATATAACTTGTTAGTGTTTTTCATTCTTTTAAGTTGACTTTTATCATGACTATGTTTTTATCATCTCTGGTAGATTCACTTTAATTGTATCTGAATTCTTAATGTACAAGGTTAAAATATCCAGTGTGTTATTTAATTGTTACAGCATCTTGGACTTGGTAAATAAAAAATGAATAAATATGTTAATACTAATAGCAGAAAAATCACAATTTTGTGAGATATTGATTACAGAAAAAGTTGTCTGATACATGGACCACTAAGGGCATCAGGCTTGTGATTAATTGGCCTGGATATTCATCTTTGTTCTGACGTATTCCAACTATGTGATGTTGGCTGTTGCCCCTTTGTGAAAATAGCTGCAGTGCTGTTATGTTCCAGTTATCTATTGTCTTGAAACAAACTTTTCCAAACAATTATCATTAAAACGTATCAACAGCAACCACCATGTCTTCTATTCAAGAATCTTGAGCATGGCTTGGCGTGGACATCGTATTTCTCACTTGTGCCTTCAGTTGCAATGGCTCAAAGGCTGGCCATGCCTGGAAGGCTGGGGGCTGCAGCCTCTCTTACTCATACGTCTGGCCTCAGTTCTCATCTAGGCCTCAGTTGGGACACCTGCACTGGGGCTATTTAAAGGGGTGCTTGGCTTCCTCACAACACTGGGGCTAGGCTGCAAGTGAACATCTTAAGAACACAGAGAGAAGAACGCCATTTGAATGACTCTGCCTCAAAAGTCACGTAGCATCACTTCAGACCCATTATCGGTGGTGGGAATCTCAAAGGCTGACTCAGATCAAAGAGAGAGAAGCACTTTCAACGGAAGGAGTGTCAAAACAATTGTATAATAAGGGCGTGTGGGATGCAGTCATTGTGGCAACGGTCTTTGCAAAATACAGTCTGTCATAGCCTTTCTCAGTGAATTCTCATAAAGATCAAGAACAAATAACATCTGGGAAAGAGGATAGTAATATGAAATATTCAACATGGATTTTTGTTTCTTTGCAATCAGTTTACAATTTTATTAGCACAATGTGGAATATCTAATATATAAATGTGGTTCTAAAATCTAAAAATAATTACTTTTATCTCTTAGTTATAAAAGCCTTAATGGGCAGAACCAGCAAAGCAAGAAGGATATGTATGCATATATACACACAATGTATTCTATAAGCATATGTTATATAACAGTTTTAATTTTCCTGGTTTGAATGGACTGAAATCGGGATAAATATGCATACTAGCCATTCACAGATACAGTAAGTTCTTTACCACTTATTTTCTGCCAGAAGTTTCTCATTAGTTCCTCTGAAATTTACTAGTGCCACCGATTCCCTTTTTCAGACTCTTCATCTGTATTTCGCTAGATTAGTAGATTGTGATCATACAAGCATTTATGTACAGAATAAATACTTATTACTCTACCAAGTGTAAATTCCTAGTAGAGGCAACCAACATCAGTAGAAAAAAGAATAAAATTGAATTTTTAGGCTTGTACACATACTGACAATTTTATCTAGACCTATACATTTCAGTCACATTCTAATCTCTTTGCTTTTACTTCTTGAAGGATTTAACTTTTGGTAATTATAGACTTCTCTCCAGCACTCGTACGATATTACTTCCCTGATGCAGTCTAATGGGAGCAGTGCAGAGCTGTGCTTTTCTAGATGTAAACTTTCCTATTCTAAAGTGTCAGTTTTAAAAATATGCATGTTCTGTCTTAACACGCTTATCCATGTACATATACACAACATGTACTTTTTACTTTCTTGGAATACATGAACAATTCTCAGAGTAAGTACATTCTCCAGTTCTCAGTGACTTCAGTCTAGAATCCATAGACAGGTCAAAGAATAAGAGAAAAGAGGAGGCTTTCCATGGCCTTGTCTTCCTACTCTCCTCTTTTAAGAAACAATCCCACGGACTTGATGAGTCATGGTTCCTGTGTCCATGAATCAACATTTGCATGCAATCCGCATGAGGCAATCACAGTCTTTTTTGCTATCACAAGAGAACATTTTCCAAGAATATAGGATATGCTATTACTTATAAATCCATCTAATCTTTTAAATTCTTCTTCCTGGAATATCAGTGAGTGGGTGGCTTGAATTGAGATGTGAATGTATTTTTTTCTGCATTCCCATCTAGTGGGAAAATTCTCTTCTTAACTAGTGCACAGAAATCAGCTCAGGAAACTCAGGGACTCATTTTTTCCATTGTCCTTGACTAGAACCTCTTCATCAAATAGAAGAAACTTTATTGTTTTATTTGCACTCTGAGTACTGTTCAGTTTTATGAATAATTCTCCAGCATCAAAAGTTTCTCATATACTGAGAATTTATATATTTCTGATGACTTTCATAAAGACTTCCCAGGTAGAAAATTTAGAGGAAGGCCAGGAAAGCTGATCCTCTTAGAGAGCTATGTGTACCTAAAAATTTAGGAAGCTGAGGTTGGCAATACCAAATCTCAAGTAACAGAGACTGAGATAAAATATTTTGAACTGTTCTAACATTCAGAATCAGTTTTGAAATTTCACTGCAGAGACCTCCTTTATCACTTATAAAATGTTTGTTCTGTGTCCTTTAAGCTGAGCTTCAGTCCTCCTTTTACATTTCATCTTTTTTTTTTCTTTTCTTTTTGAGACAGTCTCGCTCTGTTGCTCAGGCTAGAGTGCAGTGGTGCAATCTCGGTTCACTGCAACCTCAGCCTCCTGGGCTCAAGCCATCCTCCCACCTCAGCCTCCCGAGTAGCTGGAATTACAGCCTGTGCCACCACGCCTGGCTAATTTTTTTTTTTTTTTTGTATTTTTAGTAGAGACAGGGTTTTGCCATATTGCCCAGGCTGGTCTGGAACCCCTGGCCTCAAGTGATCTACCCTCCTTGGCTTCCCAAAGCGCTGGGTTTACAGGTGTGAGCCACTGTGCCCAGCCCATTTTATCTTCTTAATTTATTTGATATATAAGAAAAGTAGTATGCTTCAATTATTTTGTTTTGCTTCATTAAATGTTCAACGTTTTTTCATAATGAGATTTAAAATCTAGGTGAGAAGTTTCAGCAAATTAAAAATGCTTCAAAGGTTATTATTTTTGGTCTGTGTATGAAACAGACAGATTTCTACTTTACATATATATATAAAGCATATATATATATTCCTCAATTAATGAATACATTGACATGCAAATCTAGTTAATACTGTTTAATGTAAAATTTGTAAGTGTTAGAAAGTCAAGCTTATTTTGTTTTTTTATTGTCACTCATGGAATATTCAATAAATCTTTACCATCTTTTGACTCTCCAGTGTCTATTTTGTGTTTCGGCAATTTGCTACGAAATGAAACAGAGTCTACACCTGTGCATAGATTATAAAAATACCAGTAAGTCTCTACCACGGTTCCCTTTGTAATGAGGGTACAGACACTTGACTTAGGAATAGTGTATCAGAGGTGGCCACCTAGAGTTTTAAGCCAAGCCAGTACCCCAAGGCAGTAGACAGCATCTAGAATCCATGCCTAAGGGGGAAGCAGCAGCAGAAAAGAAACTTGTTGGCAGTGGCAGCGGTGGCCTCTGGTGCCTAGTGACACCACCCACTGTCCCATATTGGTGATCTTGAGGTCCCGCTGTGATGTCTCTACCTTAATGGTGGCCGAAATAGTGTGCTTACAGGAAGATTTCGATGACTTTCTCATCAGTGTTCCTGGCTGCATGTATTCCCCAGAAATTTTTTGAGCTACAATATCCTTTTCCACTCAAATTAGCTAATTTGAATATGTTTGCTTGCCAGACACATAATACCAGGACAGAATACAGGCAACAGACAGAGGAGGTTACAGGCAGTGGGGTCTTCATGGGACCAGTTTTGTGGCATGAGAGTAGGTCTTCGTCCCTGTCTGCTTCATCTGCAAACCTTGTTCTATGATTCTCCCGGAGATCTGAGCTTAACAATATTCTTCAAATACTTATCTTTTCTAATTAAATTAATTGTATATGGCTTGGCTGTTTGCAACAGCCGAATGCTAACATCCAGTGCTGAAAGATGTAATTATGAATAGTAGGAAGTGCAATTGCAAAATGACATATATGTTGCTTAAAGTATATTTGTAAAAACTTGTATTGTTAACAGTTTAATACTATCTCTAAATTTTGAACTGTTATAAAAATGAATATCTGCGTGTTATTATAAGATATCATTTGATTTGGTAGAACATTTTTATATTAATACACCCTTTCAGAAAATAACGATTCAATTTTTTCCAGTGAAATTTCCCACAGTTCAACAATGATTAATATTTATACCTAGATATTAATTTTTAGGACCTTTCATCCCTGAGAAATATTTGAGTAATATTTAAATTTAAATTTTATTTCCAATTATTGTGGAATTGTGACAGTAAACAAAGCATCAAAAAATGCATGGAAATATAATCACAACTTTTCATAAAAATAATTTTGGTTCATATTTTATATTTAGATTCTACAAATTTTATATATTTTAGTAATATGATTTTTTTAAAGTTTATATCATCATATTAAAGATACTACATTTTTGCTAAGCTTTGCCTTTTTAATTTCATTCTCATGAAGAATGTGTACATAAAATATGCAACATTTTAGAGTAAATATTAAGTGTTTGCCTTCTTGTAGCTCAAATGCTCTGACAATAATATACATCTCAATTATAAATTTAACTATATCATTCATCAACTTTGAAAATCTCTCTGAAACACCAGAATAAAATGATTAGGCTAGAAAATTAAGGACTTATAGAGTGCCCTCTGCTGCATAAATTTAGACACGCAATGTCCTTAATGCTGGCACAGAGACACAAAAGTTTATGATGGGGCTATCTAAATACTAAAACAATTTAAGTATCCCATTGTCATTAAATAATTTTTTATGAATTCCTTTTTTTCTCACTCCCCTAACCAAATTGTAACCTTTTTCATAATAAAAATGCATAATTTTCCTTTAGGAAACAAATACATATCAGATATTTTCTTTATGATGTATACTTGAGGTAAATATTACTTTCTTCGAAAATTTTTGAATTTATTTTGAGTTTCTAAATTATCATTTGATTCATTAAAGTATAACATCAAAAGCAGACATTTGATTTCACAACATGTATGATTTTAACTCTAGGTGATTTTCAAGTATGTTTCCATTATTCTATTATAAATAAAATAATTCTCAAAATTAATTTTAAGGAGAAACATAAATATATGCTTCATTACACAAATACAGTTAATTAAAATCTTTTATAAAATTATTTTATTAATTTAACATATGCCATTTGCTTTTCAAGTTTTTCAGTTACCGACAAGACATTCCCACGTCCTACTCAAGAAAATCTAAAAAATTAAAATTATAAATATGGTGATTCTTATCTTAAACATTCCAATGAAGTTACAAACTTAGTATAATTTTATTATAATTTTCAATATAAATTCACAGGTCTAAGTCAATATTCAATATCTTTTAAATATTCTAATTTATCACCCAAAACTTAAAATGCACTCAAATGTTAGATATGCAATATAGTTCATCTTACAATGATTTGTACACATAATTTCTAAATCTAACACAAAATACTAATACTGATTTGTTTATTATTTCTATATTTAATTCTTTTCCTCTCGTCATCTCAAACACAACTACTAAAACACAAATTATATCATAATAAGCAACTTGGGTGTCCTCAGCTGGCTAGGTTTACTTTTCTATCTGAAATTGTGACTGCTGTGGTTAATCTGGATTATAAACATTCATATTCAGTGTTTGTAAGACCTAAACTTTCAAGTTGAATCTTTTTGTTTGTTAATTTTGTTTAATATATTTGCTATGTTAATAAGGGATTCCGGATCAGAGTACTGTAAGTGGTGCTTTGCACCATTTTTTTTTTTGCAACCTGTCTCTTTTGAGGTTAAGCTAAACTCTAACTAATTCTTTTATATCCTCTTTCAATTTTATGGCTTGATTTATGTAAATATAATTATATAACTTTTTAATAGACTGCTTCTCCATTTGATTGGAGTAAACTAATGTATTTACAGCCTGACACTACTTTGAATTATCATAGTATTGTTACCAAGAAGAATCATATTTCTTATTAATATGTAAATGACATTCAATTTTGATTCTGCCTGCGTCTTCTAGCTCTGTGAATATGTTCCTAAGATCTTTCTAGTCACATTTAATATCACTGAAATAGAGCTGTATATTAGTTAATTATGAATACAATAACTATGTGACTAATAATCACAAAATCTCAGTGTCATATAACAATCAAAGTGTATTTACCTGGTGCTCAAACATACAAGTTTTTTTCAAACTTTTGTTTCTGTCGTCTCTGCTAATATCTCATTGTCAAATCCTAGAATTGAGGAATGAGGAAAACAACTCTGTCCGTGGAAATGGAGGAAAATCAATGAGTTTTTTTTTTTTTTTTTTTTTTTTTTTCTGAGATGGAGTCTCGCTCTGTAGCCCAGGCGGGAGTGCAGTGGTGCGATCTCGGCTCACTGCAAGTTCCGCCTCCTGGGTTTACACCATCCTCCTGCCTCAGTCTCCCAAGTAGCTGGGACTACAGGCGTCCGCCACCACGCCCGGCTAATTGTGTTTTGTATTTTCAGCAGAGACGGGGTTTCACCATGTTAGCCAGGATGGTCTCGATCTCCTGACCTTGTGATCC